AGACCATTCTTGCCCACACCCTCCCCCCAAAGAAGAACTATGGAACACAGCAATGGAAAGTAGTAGATGTTGCACTCAAAGAGGCAGGCAAGGGCCAGATCACATGCTGATTTGTAGGCCTCTCTGAATTTTATGGTTAAGTATGACCATTTATAATTACTTAATAAAATTTCTAAACTGCAAGGTCCATAAGGACAATCCTCAGTGGCAGAGTTGGGTGTCATAGCTGTTTGTCTTTTTATCACTAACATCTATTGCAATGGCTGGCATATAGCATGTGCCAAATGTCTGCTAGAATGAATGACCATAAAATGTCTACCTCTTCATGTATAAATTTAAGAGGATCTCAGAAGTCATTCTGACTAAATTAGAGAAATGGAAGAGATGTAAATTATAGTCTCTTGTCTGCAAGAGTGTACACACACACACACACACACAGTGTCCTATATATAGCAATACAAAAGGCACCATTTGAATTGAAGTTCCCCACCCCCTTTCCTGCAGTATTTCCTTCCTTCATATGGAACTTATGACAAGCCAGTTCCCCAACTGGTATTGCAAAAACAGAGTGGAATAGGTGGCATTAGCTACCAGTGGAGTAACTCTACAATTCTATATAATTTCCAGTCTTTTAAACCAATTTCTAATATTTAACCAAACTGGCTAAGTGATGCTTTCCTTCTAGTCTAGGATATTTTCTGCTACTTTTCAATAGTTATCTTGGATTTGGAATGATGAATCTATAGCAACAGAACAACAAGTAGATCCTTTGTGTTCAGTAAAAAGGAACTGTTGGAGTATGTGCATAGGCTAGTCTACAAAGTCTATAAAGTTTAGAATAAAAAGAAATAAACCCCGAGGAGTTTCTGACATGTAGGAAAGGTTAGACTAACAAAGCAGATACCAATAGGAAACACCAACACTTAAGGAGGGCCCTAGTCAGATCAGACAGCAAAGGCCAAAAGAAAACAGGACTCGAGTAAGGTTAGCAATGGTTTGGCTGATGGAAGAGACTCCTTCAGGAGAATAAGACGAACTCTGCCGGGATGCCAAGAGACGTGGAAAAACGAAAAAGTAAGTAATGAAAGTGCAGAGTTAGGAAATACACTTGCTGAGAGCAGAAAACACTGCCAAAAATATAGGGACACTAGCAGTTAAAAGGGACCCTGAAAGATTCTAAAAGCCCCTAATTCTGAGATGAGAAAAAGGAGTCCAAAAAGGCCAAACAAGTTTTACACAGAGCTAATGAGCAGCAATGCTGGCAAAGAATTCAGGTCTTCTAGTTCTTTTTCATCAAACACTCTGGGAAAGCACAGTACCAGGTGCCCTTAAAAAATCCAAAAGAACTACAATGAAATTTCCCTACGTTTCAAGAACACAGAAATTTTTTTCTTAGTGTTTTATTTTAAACATAAGAACATTAATGAAATCACTCAACGATTTCCAGATGTTTTACTTTTTCTTCATTTAGTAATAGTATACGGGATTCATCTGCTGTATCGCATAGAATGAAGTGATATGACATACACACAAAAAGACAGAAAAACACAAAAACAGGATGTAAATTTTTTAAGTGCCAAATTATGCACGAGAGAAATAAATCAGGCATTTGGGATCTGGGTTTCAACAACTAAAATGAAAAGCAGGAACAAAAAGGAACTAAAAAAGTAAATCAGTGATTGGTGAAGTGGCACTGGAAGGAAAATGATAGCGTGTTCAGAACAGCATGAAATGTAAGAAGAAACTGACAAGGAACTAATAATAGTAAGTTTTAAAAAAGACCTAAAAAATATAGATTGCTGTCATACAGTTATGAAAATGAAAATAAAAGGGCAGATGGCAGATCAAGCAGCTCCCATTTGCAAAATTACTTCAAATTACAAAAGGGCCAGTTATAACATATAACTAACAAGCTGCACAAGTTCCAAATATAAGAAGTTTACAAGGCAAGTTTGGCTCACTAATTTTTACCAACAAACCACTGATGGAACTGTGCTTATAAAAACAAAACCCCAGAGTGAAAGAATTCTATTTTTTAGAGAACTGTGAACTTTGAGATCATCCTATTTTTTTTTTCTTTTGTCTATAAGGAGGGAGCTCTTGTTTGGCTTAAAATCTCCAATTACCAATCAACTAGCTCTAAAAACCCATACAACTAACTTGTTCAGAGATAGGATAAACTATTCATGAAGATCCCACCAGCAAAAGACCTACTTGACAACTAGAGCTTGTACATTTGTAAGATCTAACCATTTGGGGCTAGTGATGTGGCGCACCGGGTTAACGCCCTAGCCTGAAGCGCCTAGCCTGAAGAACAGGCATCCCATATGGCTGCTCCACTCCCGATCCCACGTGGAAGACCGGGAAGAAGCTCCTGGCTTTGGATTGGCACAGCTCTGGCGACTGCAGCCAATTGGGGAGTGAACCAGTGGATGGAAGACCTCTCTCTCTCTCTCTCTGCCTCTCCTCTCTCAGTGTTACTCTTTCAAATAAATCTTAAAAAAAAAAAAAAAAAAATTCTACCCATTTTACTCCTCAGATGCTTTACTGGCTTGGCTTCCTCCCATTCTAACCATCCAACCACAAGCACTCTACCAAAATATCCTTCAAGCCAGGAACAATATCTTAAAGCCAAGGACATACTTCATCGTAACAATATAATACAGAATCTGAAGATAATTAGGGGCCTTTGTTGTGGCACAGTGGGTGATGCCTCAGTCTGCATCCCATATGGGATGCTGCTCACTTCCCACTGAGCTCCCTGGTAATGTGCCTGACTGCTGCAGCCATCTAGGGGAGTGAACCAGCAGATGGAAGATCTCTCTCTCCCTCTTTTGTAACTCTGCCTTTCAAATAAATAAATAAGTCTTTTCTAACAAAAGGTCATCAGATGTAAAGATTCAAAATCACCAGTTGAATATACTGATTAGGTTCAAATACTCATTAGAGGGACCTGCGTTGTAGCCTAGCAGGCAAAGCCAACCCCTGCAGCACCAGCATCCCATATGGGCACCAGGTTCCAGTTCCAGCTGCTCCACTTCTGATTCAAGTCCCTGCCTATGTGCCTGGGAAAGCAGAGGAAGATGGCCCAAGTCTTTGGGCCTCTGCCACCCACGTGGGAGACTAGGACCTCCTGGCTCTGACTTCAGCCTCGCCAATTCCAACAGTTGGGGCCATCTGGGGAGTGAACCAGCAAGTGGAAGATTTCTCTCCCTCTGTGTCTCCATCTCTCTGTAACTATTTCAAATAAGTACATTTTTATAAAAAAAAAACTTATGAGATTTATTGATACTTTACAGAAAGCTTCAGGCTTCCATATGAAAACAAAACCAAAAACAAAAGCTGGTAATGATTTGCATTCTCTATAATCTCACACACAGAGACAAAACTACAAACCAAGAATCAAAAATAGCTTTACACAAACAAGAACAAAATTGTAGGTTTTGCTGAGGGCATCAGCCACTTAATTTAACCCCACTCATCAGGAGCAGGAAGCCAGGCTACTGTTTCCATCAAAATTCCTAAGAAACAGATGAGATAAAGGGCAGATCCCAGAGTCCACAGATGAAACCATTTTGATACGATACTGAGGATTCTCTAAGTGTCGCCCATAGACAACAAAGTGCATCTAAGGCTGCCTCAAAACGAGTCTATCTACACTTGAACCAGTGGTTAAGTGGAGTTAAGATTTATAGCAGCTTTGGGTTGCCCTCCCCGCCCGTACCCCCCCCCCCCACACACACACACCCTCATTCTCCTCCCCAAACAGGAAAGAAAGCGCGCTGCCCAGCATAAACACAGGCCATTGCTCAAGGTTCGTCACCACAACAAACTGGACTCAGACCAGCGCGCCCGGAGACTAAGCCCCAGGTCTTGGTTGCTAGGCACAAAAAAAGGACTCTTCCCCCACAGACTCGGGAACGCCGTGCGTCTGACCCGCGAGCTTTAGTTGTTTTCCCAACCTTTTTTTTTTTTTTTTAAACTAACGCTTTCAAAGTCGCGACAGGCGGCCGAAGTTTGCCTCTGAGCCAGACTTCCAGCTCTGCCTTGCACAGACACACATTAGGTGGGCTGGTCCCACGTCGGCTCCACCAGCATTCACAAATTGCAAACCTCTCCGAACATCCGCGGGGAGAACAGAGAAGCTTCCACACCCACCCCGCCGCCGCCGTCCCCTCCACACACCGCACAAATAACCCCCAAGCCGCGGTGATCAGCAGAGCCGTGACAGACACACGCACAAGCCCCACACTGGGAACCTGCCACGACAGCCGGGTAAAACCGGCCGGCTGAGGAGGCGCCGGGCGGCCCCCGTCACTTGAGGACAACAACACGCCCTGGAGAAGAAGGGGCAGGAGGCAGCGGGAGTTGCCCCGAAAACAGCCCGGGAGCCTGCCCACTTTCCTGGGAACCCAATCTCCTCCCGCTCTCCACCGCGGCCCAGGACCCCGCGCCGGGTCCCGGGCAGGGGGACTCGAGGGAGGCGCCCCCCGCAGGCCGGGTGTTCCAGCAGAGCCCGCGGGCGGCCCGGCCCCGCCTCGGGGAACTGAGAGAGGAGGTCGCTCCCCGCCTGAGCTCCCTCCCGGACGCCCTCACTCACCGCCGGTGTGTCTGGTTCTCAGCCGCGAGCTGGGGCTGCCGTGGGGAGGCGGCGGAGGAGACGAGATCCGGGGCCCCGCCGCCGGGTCATCATACCCCCCGCACAAGCCGGCCCGGGCCGCGGCCCCCGCCCCCCGGAGCCGTCCCTGTGCCGGTCCAGCGGGGGGAGCCTCCTCAGCCTCCCGCCCGCTCCGCCACCCGGCCCCTTCCCGCCGCCGCCGCCGCCGCCGCCTCAGCCCCGCGCGCTCCCTCCTCGGCCTCCCGCTGCCGTCCGGGGCCACCGCCGGGCCCCTCACTCCGCAGCCGCCGTTGTCGCCAGACCTGACAAGAGGAGCGCCGAACGGCCGCCCCTACCCAGTCGGCCCCGCCTCGCCGGAACCCTCCCGCGCCATGACACTCACTGAGGCGGAAGTGCGGAAGAGTTGCCGCTCTAGGACGGCGGCATAGTATCGGTGGCAGTGGGAGTGGGTGGGCCTCCGTGGGGAGCCAGCGTGGATCGAGTTCGGGGAATGGACTCCCCACACACCCCCCCGGAAGGCAGGCTCCGCGGTGATTTGAAGGTGCCTGGTAGCGGTAGGGGGTCCGGCTGTAAAATGTCATCCCAGCCAGTGTGACATCATCACCACCTAGTGTGACTCCCGCAGATTGGGCTGCGCGAGGGAGGCAATGCTTATCCGGGAAGCCTCCCTGGCTATGAGGATTTACTTCAGTTTAGACTTCAAAGTTTTGTTGTCATCTAGAGACGTTCCATCAGTGAGACATCCGTGTATCGGTCCCCGAGGCCGCCCAAGTACATGGGAGCCGCTTAGGGAATCTGCCAATTACCGCCTGGGTTTCTTCTGTTTGCATTAGGAGGTGAGAAGGAGTAACCCAATCCCTCAAAACGTTCTGTGAGCAAACGCTAGCATAGTAATTTTCTTGCCTCCATACGAAGGTAGAAAGGCTGAGTGTTCAAGAAACAGAACACCTTGGACCCAGCATTCTGAGAAATGGACACTTAATGAAAACTGAGTTATCCTAATAAAAACGTAGAATTCAGATATATGCCGGCTGTGTAAAATGTCCTGATTCCTAAAGTGGGCCTTATTTCCAGGGAGCCTGGTATTATCTGTTCCTTTCCATCCCATGAGTGCTGGAGGCAGCAGTGATCTGAGCCCTCCAGAGTGACTGTCCTGCATGGTGGGCATTCGCACATTCGCTGAGAGGGGAACAGATGCGGCCGAGACAGTATTCAGACAAGCTGTTTCTCAGATGTCACTCATTTTTATCCTTGATTTCCTTGGATCCCCCATCTTCTCACCAAACAAGACAAAATTTTTGTCAAATGTGCTCAAGTACCTTTTAAGGGAAGTCATTTGAGTTTCTCCCTGGCTTAACACTGGGAGCAGTTCCATTTTACTGGGAACGGGGAACTTTGTTTCCCTAGAGGACCAGGGTCAGCAAGTGATCAGTCCCACGGGGCAGTTTTGTTTGCTTATTTTCACAGAAGCTTCCTTCTTAGTGTTTAGAGAACATAGAGTCCCCACATTGGGCTGGTATGGGAAAGATCAAGACATAAAGAGTGAATGAGCATGCCTTCTTGGTGAGCCAGGAAGAAGGCAGAGAGGTTGGCTTCCTGGTGTAATGCGTTGAACGACTCTCTTCAATACCGGCATCCCACATGGACACTGGTTCAAGGCCTGGCTGCTCCACTTCCTCTCCAGCTCCCTGCTAATATGTCTAGGAAAGCAACAGAGGATGGACCAAGTGCTTGGGCCCCTGGACCTACATGGGAGACCAGGATGAAGGTCCTGGCTCCTGGCTTCAGCCTGGTCCAGCCCCAGCTGTTGTGGCCATTTGTGGAGTGAATCAGTGAATAGAAGATCTCTCTTATCTTTCCCCCTCCCTCTCCTTCTGTAACTCTGCCTTTCAAATAAATCTTTAAAGTATAAAAATAAAAAGGCAGAAACCTGAGGTCAGAAGCAATCTTCTAACACATTCTTTTCTTACAAGGCCTTGGATCAACCCAACTCTATAAAATGTTTCTAATCCCCTATCCTTCCAAGTTATGTCCCTTCCCACTCTCCCAACATATCTGAGAATTCACCTTTTGGAAGCCAATCCTGATTGACTCTCAGATGGATTTTATTTGGCATCATCATCTGACTACTTAAATAATTTACTCATTTGTACCTTATTGATTTATACTTGTTGATCTCTATTTTTATTGTTCTCAGGTCCTTGCCTCAGTTTGTCCCAGTATACAGGGAGCTGCTTAAAGTCTAATTTTGTTTTTGTTTTCTTTTGTTTTTTGCTTTCTAACAAAATTCATGAATTCATCCAGCAAACCCCTGTGTGCTGGCTCTATGCCACTCTGTACCCAGTACTCTGCTGAGTACTGGGTCAAACGCAAGCTGAGGAAGACATAGTATTTTCCCTCAGGGAGCTTTCACCCTAGTGAGGAAAAAAGGCAAGTGGACATATATAACACTTTAAGGAAGCACCAGAGGAGGTGATATTTGAGCAGGATATCTTCAAGGAAGTTTCAAAGTGTAGTGTAACTGGAGGTTGCGTGTCCATTCAGCTAATAGCCATAGAGCATCTTCTGTGCAGGCACTTGGTCAGAAATTAAACACACGATGGCCTTTCCTCAGTAGGCCTGAGTGGTTGAAATGGGCAAGTTCAAGAAACCCGGAAAGTGGTGCCGGTCCTGGCTGGACACTAATTGGGATGTAGAGCCATCATTGTGAAGAACATTGATGATGGCACCTCCAACTGCCCCTCCAGCCACGCTCGGGTGGCTGGAATTGACCGCTATCCCCATAAAGTGACAGGTGCCAAGGGCAAGAAACAAATCACCAAGAAGTCAAAGATAAATCTTTTGTAAATGTTTGTAGCTACAATCATCTAATACCCACCAGGTACTCTGTGGCTATTCCCTTGGACAAAGCTGTAGTCAACAAGGATGGCTGCAGGGACCCTGCTCTTAAATGCAAGGACCAATGATATTGTCTTTGATATTTTTGAAGAATATGGGCCTATTTTTCTTTATAATGATAACTCTCCTCAGAAGGTGGCTATATGTGGCAGGTATTTTTTTAAAAAAGATTTTATTTATTTATTTGAGAGGTAGAATTATAGACAGTGAGAGGGAGAGGCAGAGAGAGAGGTCTTTCTTCCGTTAGTTCACTCCCCAAATGGCCACAAAGGCCGGAGCTATGCCGATCCAAAGTGGAAACAGGTGCTTCTCCCTGGTCTCCCATGCGGGTGCAGGGGCCCAAGCACCTGGGCCATCTTCTACTGCTTTCCCAGGCCACAGCAGAGAGCTGGATTGGAAGAGGAGCAGCCGGGACTAGAACCCATGCCTTCATGGGATACCAGCGCCTCAGGCGGAGGATTAACCTATTGCACCACAGCCCTAGCCCCGGGCCTATTTTTTGATAATAGAATTTTCCCTAATTTAGGTTGATCATTTATGTTTGTCTCATGGTTTACTCATGATTACACCCAGGTTATCCTTTCTGGCCAGGATACTACTGCATGAATTATATCATAGCCTTAGGATATTATACCCAAAGGAACATGGTAAATCTCTGTCCCTCATTGGTGATAATAATTTTGGTCACTTGGTCAAGGTGTCTGATTTCTCCACAGTGTATTTATTGATTTTTCTTTGTAATTAATAAGCAATCTGTGGGGAGATGCCTTATACAGTACCCAGCTCCTCACTGAGCCTGCTCCCCTAGATTTAGCATCTATTAGTGATTCTTGCCTATACCACCCTCATTGCTGCTTATTTAGTTACTTATCTGTTTATTAATGACGTAGACTAATAGATTACTACCTTTCCCAATAGTTTATAATTAGCTGCTGTCCTTAATTATTTTAGTGCTGGAATTTTCCAAATTTAGTCACTGTGTACCCTTAAAAGTTGGTTTCTGTGTCTTCTTTAGCATGTCCTCATAATAAGTTGTCCCAAATTCATCTTGCGCTCTTCATTCCCAAGCCATTTCTCTGAGGAGTCTTGAGTGCTTTTGTTTTGTTTAGAGTAGAATTATATTAAAGAACAAGATCTGGGCACTGGACTCACAGTGATTTTTTTATTATGTTAAGCATCATTATCTTTTTTTAAAGATTTATTTATTTATTGAAAGGCAGAGTTATAGAGAGGCAGAGGCAAAGGAAGAGCAAGATCTTCCGCCTGCTGGTTCACCCCCCAGATGGCCACAATGACTGGAGCTGCAAGTATCCGAAGCCAGGAGCTTCCTCCAGGTTTTCCCACATGGGTGCAGGGGCCCAAGGACTTGGGCCATCTTCTGCTGCTTTCGCAGGCCATAGCAGAGAGCTGGATAGGAAGTAGAGCAGCCAAGACTTGAACCGGCGCCCATATGGGATGCTGGCACCACAGGCAGCAGCTTTGCCCGCTACACCACAGCACTGGACCCCACAGTGACTTCTTACTGGATGCCTATGGCCCTGGGTATAAATTGACAGTTTCTCATTCTTTCCCATAGGGTTGCAAATTGAGGTACACCCAGGATTTTTTCTTTTCAAGATTCTTCAGGGCATCCTTAGCAGAGCAAACTTGCAAAGAGTGATGTGGCAGACATGTTCCTTGCCTATTCAATGAATAGTTAGGTTTTAGCTAACTGCAGTCACAGTTCCCTTAACACAATTAAACTTTATTGTTATTGGTATCATCAATCACTTAAGTGTGAGTGGTTAGGGGTAAGGGTTTTGTTCTGCTCCTTGACATCATTCAGGGATCTGACAGCTTGTGTCTAGAGTCGTGTGGCCTCACTGTTCCTTGGAGTCCTGGATTTCCCACCCCCAACCTCAACCTCCCTGGATTATTTGCATCTGGTCAGGGAAAAAATGAAAGAGAAAATATGAATGAATATGTGGGGAGTTCTTATAGTTCAGGCCTAGAGCCAAGAGCTTCATTGGGGTCTCAGACCCATGCTGGTGCAGGGGCCCAAACATTGGCTCATCCCCTGCTGCTTTCCCAGGCACATTAGCAGGGAGCTGGATTAGAAGTGGAGCAGCCAGGACACAAACCGGCGCTCATATGGGATGCCGGCACTGCAGATAGTGGCTTAACCCACTACGCCAGAGCGCCAGGCAATGGAGGCTCCTGAGCAAAGCTGGGAGAACAGAAGTTTTTAAATTGAGATTTTAGATGTAGTATAATTGCTGGTAATGACAGAATGGTGAGGTACAGGGAGAACAACGTCTTTAGAGATGAGAAGTCAAGAAAACTGAATGACCAGAGTGCTGAAGCCACCCAGAATAACAGAGTTATGAAAGGGGAGAAGACTGTGAGTCAGGGACTCAGTCTGGATAAACGAGGAGGGGAGAGGATGGCATGGCCAGGCAGGATGAACTTCAGAGGAGAGATTGCCCCTGGAAGGGAGGGGAATGACAGTCAGGAGACGCTAGGAGAGCAGGGAGAATGTGAGCTTCACCTCCTTACTCTGAAGTGGGAGTAAAGGCCTCTACTTGGGGTGGCTGGGCAGAAAAGAGCGTGTCCAGAAGAGAGCCGGTGCTCAGTGCAGGCCAGATGGGGA